CCTGCGCCTACCCCCCCCCCGCCCCCCACGCACACACACAATACACCATTGAGCTCTCACCTTCTTTGCTCGAACGACCCCCTCTCCAAAAGCCCTCTCCTCTCTACCCCAATCGCCTATCATGAAAAGCAGAAGATTCTTCCTTTTTTTCAGCTGCCCGAGGTGTGTGCTCCGCGTGTGTAAGACGAGCCACGCGTTGTTCCGGCTCGCCTCAGCCCCTTTTTTTCTTCCTTTTTTTTGTTTACGCACGCGCGTGCGACGCGATAGTACACGCTTGGTGCGCAACCCCTCGTTTATCGATCGCCAAGTGAACGAATTCGAACAAAGAAGCGCGACGACGACGGTGTTGGCACAGCTTTCAATTTCGTGAATTAAACGCACTCGACGAAGGCTTTTTTGCACGGCGCGTGGACGTACGTGAAAATATCGATCGTTGCAGGGAGCGACGTGAAAAGGGGACTCGGAACCCAATTCAGTGGACGAGAATAAAGGACAAAATTGACATTGTGAATTTTGCTAAGTACGTGAATCCATGATAAAGTAACGGGTCCATTATTAACAACAAAGACGTGGAATGTCAATGGGAGTTTGAGGTCATCCGTGATCCTTTTATTACACAAATAGCACGTTGAAGCAAATAATCTCTCGATCTTAATTTCGGATTTTAAATTCAAGATTCACATATTGCACGCTTGTTAGTAATGTTTACTCTTGTGTGATATTTTTAACGCAATATATTATTATTATTATTATTATTATTATTATTATTATTATTATTATGGGATTTAGATGTAATGAGTTAATAAGTGCTTGTTGAATTCGACATTATATGACTGGAATATCTATTTGCGCGCATGGGAAATAAACGGATCTATTAGAGAGAAAAAAAGGGGAAAAAAATTGCAATACGATGGAATTGTAAGTAAAGCAAAGGAGGAAAATACGCATAAGTGAGCCAGACACAAAAATAGTTGCGTAATATCGGCACGGTTTTGCAATTTTGGAACGTGTAATGAGAGGAGTCGAAGTGTCCGCGCACGCGCTAACAGACTCCCATTGGACCCCTCCCCCCTCCACTCCCTTTCTCAAACGATACGTCCCGGTGACCCGAAAATGGCACGGCCGAGTAAAATGAAAAACATAAATGAGATGGAGCGCCAGATGCATTCCTCTGACTCGCGAGTCTGGAAAATCCACGGGCGAGCGGTATTAAACGGGCGTTGGCGGCGACGACGACGACGACGACGATGATGGGCGACGGCGACGACGGCGACGACGGTGACTCCCGTCGATAGTTTCGCGAAAGCTCGACAGCCAGATTAAGGCGACCCGCTGGCCACGATCCAACGCCGTGGAGAAGCTTTAATAAGCATCCGCTCGTTATTCGCGCGAAGAGAGTGTGGTCCGTTCGCCGTGCGACAAGCGCCCAGCTGTAAAAGAGTGCCGATCGGGGGTGGAAAATGGGAGAGGAAGGACTGGATAAAAGCCTAGCTATCTAGTAGTAGTAGTGAGGGTAGGGGTATATGAGGGCGGGAGATCGCGGAAGCGGGGCTTATCGAGGAGCCCGGACGATAAACTTCCTTATCGACGTGCCTGGAAATGCGAGCTAATGATTTCCGCGCGTAATATCGCCGTCAGCTCGTGTTTAAGCGGAGGAAATTTTACCGTTCTCGCGTCCGTTTCTCGTCGGAGACGGAGGAACGAACGTAGAGTGGGGAGGAGTATAGGTGCGCACGCATATCGCGAATGATTTAAGCAAATTAAACGGCTTGGCAATTTGGCGTTAAATGGGGGACACAGTCGAGAAGGCTTTTATTTCGTCCGGGGGGGGGGGGGGGTGTAGTAGAAGTGGAGAGGCAAGGTTTTCCTTTCGCCTCTTATTCTCTCGCGCTATTACTATTTCCATTACTGTTATCGTAGGAAAGCTTTAAATTGTCGCAAGTTTACGAGAGAATTTATGAGAGAATTCATCG